GCTCTTTGTCCACTTCCGTGAGTTGCACTGTTTGTTTGTTTTTAATCATTGCCAAAGCTGTGTAGAGTTAATAGTCAGAGAGTGTTCCGTGCTCTTTAAAATGAAGCGAAAAATAATTCAATCTGAAAGAAAAGATCAGTCTGCAGGAAGATTGCAACAATCCGATCGGAAACCTAAGGATTTAAACGTGCATGCAAGGCAAGTGACATTTGTTGTATTTACTTTTTTTGCATAAAACAAAAGAGCAACAATATCAGGAAATGTCAAGAGAAGACATTTAAAAGAACTTTTAAGAGAAGAGAACTTTTAAAATGTGACACTATGAAGATTTAAATTTGCAGTGTTTTAAAAAATTATATAGGCAATAAAAACTATTATTACTAGGACTAAAACTAAGCTAAAACTATGACGGTGCAGTTATGCAAATCATGAAGAGTTCATGCCATTACATAACATTTTCATCTTTCAGCAGCAACAAATTCCAGTTGTAAGCAAAGGCAAAAGCATCAACCATACCACATAGATTGCAATATCTTGAATATATAGCCACATCTTGATTGTAGCCCACTGGATCAAAAATCTGACGTTTTTACACCCAGTTTCTGAGTGCATTTCCTCCTCTTCTTAAGATCCCAGTGGCAATGGACTTGGACTAAAATGGGACTACTTTCTCTCTGCATCCTCTCTGTATTAATACCGCTTCTTCTGCATCTCTTCTCTGGTATGCAACTTTTTTTGAAATATTGATGTGTTGTCATCTATATAGTTTATGCATTTTTCCTAAACTCATTTGTGTATTTCTCCAGACTCTATTGACCTCAGCCGACCATCAGATATAGGGCTCAATCACACTATAAACATGTACCTCACACCTGGGGAGGGGGTGAGAGTGGGCGTGTGGTTAGTTTTAAGACACCTACAGTGCATGTCACACATTTACACACCAAAATATAAAACAAGACAATTACAAATAATCAAGGTTTCAATATATTATTTTATTAATGTTTTCAAGGCACACTGTACCTGAACATAGATGGAAGGAGGCACAGGGGAAAGATCTAGACTGGTATGAGAAAGCTCTGGGGGACGGATCGCCCATTTTCATCTACCTCCATGGCAATGGGGGTAACAGGCAGGAAAACTTTTAATCACCTTAAAACTTTAAAGAACAATTTTTATCGTATTCTTTGTTCACTTAAGATTACATTTGTATGCCTTTGATCTGCTAACCTATAGACCTTCGTCAGGATAGCACCATATTTAATATTTGGCAGGAATGAAAATGAGGCTGTAAGGAAGAAAAGTGCATTCTTTACAGGAAAAAAGTAGACAATAATTTCATAAAAGAGTTTTGAAAGTTCTGAGTTGTGGAAATGATTTGATGTAGGACCTTTACACCGAGTGTGCCATTGTAAAGACTGTCTATCCTTCACAGCCTCATTTTCATCATTTAAATGTAATGTTGTGTCTAACCTAACTAAGGTCTATAGACACAATACAATATCTGCATAATCTCTTTGCACAGAGATCAGTGATCTGAACTTCACACTGCTTTGCACTTTACCTTAGTAAAAACTAGGATGGTAACTGCAGCATATCAATTAATGTCCACATTCAGTTCTTTTGCAACCTCACTTTTTAAACAAAATGTCACAGTACAATGAAATCAAATGTAAAAATAAATAAATAAATAAACAAACAAACATACACTGCCATGTTATAATCAGTTTGTCAACCTTAAATAAGATTACCATATATTGACTTGCCAAATACAACTTTCAGTTCATCTGTGATTTTTCTTGTTTAATGGCGATATACCATTTAAACTTTGTTTTCCTCTAAATAAATAAATAAATAATACATTTTGCATTATATTGAAAATACATGCTTTGATTCTATTTATTCCATCTTTTTGTACCTTCGATAAACAGATCTGCACCGCATCGTATTGGAATTGCAAATGTGAGCAAACTCACTTATTTCATTATGAAGAAAGAACTTGAATAGTGGTAATGACTGAAGTGTCTTGGTCATACAGGTCTTGAGTGCTGTTGGATATCACGTTTTGGTGTTGGACTACAGAGGTGGGTTAAAATGTTGTGACTTCACTGTAGCCAATAATCACTGGAGCTCATTTCAGACTTGAACTTCTGTATATGATTTCTCTATTGCTTACTCCAATACAACATGTCAGGTTTTGGGGACTCCACTGGTGAGCCTACAGAGGCCGGTCTGACTTCTGATGCTGTGTACTTGTACCACTGGGTTAAGGCACGTAGTGGAAACAGCCCGGTGTGTGTGTGGGGTCACTCGATTGGTAGTGGGTGTGTAAAATCACCTTTTTTATTGACAAAAAAAAGCTATCAATATAATTGTAAATAATATATATGTAATTTATGTTTCTTTTTCAATAGTGTTACGACTAACACTGCAGTGAAATTACTGGAGCAAGGTAAAAATTCGACTGATTTAAAAACAAGCATGCTCTTGTTTGTCTCAGTGGCTCTTCATTGCAATTTTCTCACTTTACGTTTGACTTTTAAACTAGGAGTTGTCATTGTATGGCATAGTAAGCTTCACATATTTTTATGTTTTAAAATAAACTTCTTGACTGTAATGGGAGAATGCTATGCTATGCTTTTCTTTGTTCTGTATTTTGGTCTTGTTAAAAAAACTGCACATTTCTTGACAGGAAAACAGTTTGATGGAATTATACTTGAGGGTGCATTCGTAACCGGACGGAGGGCAAGAGATCAACCTATTGAACACCCTTTTACATGGGTAAGTAACGTTCAAGATCTTTGAAATTTTAATAATCTTGTCCTGACAAGTTTTAGATATTTATATTAGGTATTATAGTTGTTTTTTTTTGTTAGATATTTTTAAAAATTACCTATCAGACATCAAAACATAATAATTGTGATTTTCCTAAATAGTAAAATTCACTTAAAATCTGATAATTTCATTTAATTCTGCAAAATTTAAAGTTCATTTATATTTTACAGGACAAACTACACACACACACACACACACACAAATATGGGTCATTAATCATAGTTTGGTACATGTAAGTCTTATTTGTACCTCTTTTTTCATTTCATTTCTCCAGTTTTATTGGAAGTTCCCATACATTCAGTTCTTCCTTTTCAATCCACTTAAAAACAACATTTTCGTCTTTCCAACCAATGAGAAGTATGTGATATTGTTTCACTAAATTATGCCACTGTTACAGTATGTTAAATATGAAAATGCTATAAAACTTTTCATCTCGCATTTTCTCCCCACCCCTTTTTTTTTTTTTGGTTGATAGTTTGCAGAAACTTAGAACTCCCCTCATGATTCTCCATGCTGAAGATGACCATATAGTGCCCTTTGCCTCAGCTCAAGAGGTTTGTGTGTATGAAACGTAATTTATCTCATAAAAATAGTTTGGAAATACATTTTTACTTTGAATTACAATTTTTTGCCTCAGATCTACAGAATTGCAGAAAAGGCCCAGAATTCGGATAAGCGGGTCAAACTGGTACCATTTGATAGATCGCTTGGATACCTTCATAATGGGCTGTATAAAGACCCTGGTTTGCCAGATATCATAAGGTGATGTCACTCTCTGAAAATTTTTTATTCATCTGAATCTTACTTTAAGATAATTTTTCTTAAAAGATATGGAAATGGCTTTAGAGAAAAAAAGCTTATTTTCAAATAATATGTAACAGTGAAAATAGTTACTTTTGAGGAGTAGGCTATGCGTTACTTGTTGCTAATGTTGAATGGCAGCAAAATAAATGCATATTTTAATCATTACAGGGAGTTTGTGCAGTCACTGATGACATGAGATACACACACACAGGAGGAGGAGGATTTACACCAACTAATAGCCAGCTGTTTCATATAATTGGTGTTGTAACTGTAAATTTACAGTATGCCCTTCTATGATAAAACATTGTAATTGTAAAGTATTTTTTCAGAATTTCACCAATTAGAGTGAATTGTATTGTCTTGTTAATATTTGTAATTTTTTTTTCAAGACTTAGGTAAAAAAAAAAATGATTTTTTTTTATACAATACAAATTGTGATTTTTTTTTCTGAGTTTGTATTACAGTGTTGGTCACAATGTTAACAAATACAATGTATCTCTGACAGACATCAAACTATCACCCATTTTACGACTGAATGCTGGTTTGTTTCCTCAGAGACATCAGCAGCATGAAGTGATTAAAATAGGAACTCTTCAAATATATTATAAAGGTTCATCTTTTTTTTCTCAAATTTCTCATCAATATGCAGAAAAGGTAGCTGATAAACATTCTCTATTTCTAAATAAACATTTTAATTAAATACTTAATTCAACTTTAATTTGAATATTAATTCAATATACAGGTATTTGTGAATATATTAAAGGTAGCTACTATTTGACACTTTTCCAAAAGCAATTTTTATTCCAAATATTAAAGAATATTGACGGTCATTGAAAATGTGAATAGATGTAAAAGAATCCAACAAGAGGCTTGCAAAAACTCCAGAAAGAAAGAAAGAAAGAAAGTTTTCCTTGGCCATTGGAGACAGAGTATAAATAAACACTTCATAAATCTGTGATCCAACTAAACCTTTGCTGAGTAGAGTGCTTTGTATGAAAAAGAATCTTGATTATAAATAATGCCATTGTAATCTTGTTTTTCCTGAGAATTTTGAGCTTTAAAAATTAAATGTGTGGTAATGTATGCTACAACTGTGCCATAAATCAAACCTAACTTTAGAACAGGTTATTCTCCATAAAACACACAACTTATTAAAAATGATTTCAACATGTGCAATGTAAAAAATTAATAAATAAATAATTGCTTTTTTTCATAACTGATCAAATAAATCAAGCATATCAGGAGCAGCGTATATTCATAAATCACACCATGTAGCAAAGTCTAGAGTGAAAAAAAACTGTACAAAATGTGTGCACATAAGCCCAGTCCATGCTCTTTGCTCTTTACACCCGTTCACTTTCATGAGTTGCATGGTTTGTTTGTCAATTATTGCCAAAGTTGTGTGTTAAGTAAATAGAAAGAGTGTCTCCTGCACTTCAAAATGAAGAAAAGAATCAATAAATCTGAAAGGAAATTTCAGTATGCAGGAAGATCGCAACAATCTGGTCAGAAACCTAAGGATTTAAACCTGCATGCAAGGCAAGTGACATTTTGTATTGACTTCTTTGAAAGTAAATCAGTGTAGTCCTGTTGTTTTGCTAGACAGCTGCATAACTGCATAAAACGAACAGCAACAATTTCAGGCAATGTCTAATAGTGATGTTTTATTAAGCCCTGAAGAGGGCTCAAATGTAATTGGTTGTAAAAGAGAAGAACCTTTAGAATGTGACACTATGAAGATTACTTTAATGTTTACTTCAATGTTTTAAAAAACTTGATATATGCAATACAAGCCATTATTATGAGCTAAAACTATGAAGGTTAATTTATGCAATTCATGAAGTTCATGCCATTATAAAATTTTCATCTTCCAACAGCAACAAATTCCAGTTGTAAGCAAAGGCAAAAGCATTAACTATAACACATAAGATTGCAATATCTTGAATATATAGCCACATCTTGATTGTAGCCCACTGGATCAAAAATCTGACGTTTTTACACCCAGTTTCTGAGTGCATTTCCTCCTCTTCTTAAGATCCCAGTGGCAATGGATTTGGACTAAAATGGGACTACTTTCTCTCTGCATCCTCTCTGTATCAATACCGCTTCTTCTGCATCTCTTCTCTGGTATGCAACATTTTTTTTTGTTAGAAATATTGATGTGTTGTAATCTATATAGTTTATGAATATTTATTAAACTCATTTGTGTATTTCTCCAGACTCTATTGACCTCAGCCGACCATCAGATATAGGGCTCAATCACACTATAAACATGTACCTCACACCTGGGGAGGCGGTGAGAGTGGGCGTGTGGTTAGTTACATGTGATATACCTGTGTGTGTGTGTATATATATATATACACACACACACACACACACAAAAACTATAAAACAAGACAAATATTCAGGTTTTCTTCTTGCATTATAAATGTTTTTAGGCACACTGTACCTGAACATAGATGGAAGGAGGCGCAGGGGAAAGATCTAGACTGGTATGAGAACGCTCTGGGGGACGGATCGCCCATTTTCATCTACCTCCATGGCAATGGGGGTAACAGGCAGGAAAACTTTTAACTACCTTAAGTGATTTTTTTTATTTTTTATTATAAAACTTTTATTCTTTGTTTAGTCTTTTGTTTTTTTGTTGTTGTTTTTTTGCCTTCGATCTGCTAACCTATAGACACAATACAATATCTGAGATCTGACTTGTGCATTGAACTTCACACTGCTTTGCACTTTACCATAGTAAACACTGCTATGGGAACTGCAGCTAATACAACTTTCAGTTCCTCTGTGATTTTTCTTTGATGGTGGTATACTATTTAAAATGTGTTCTCCAATAAATAAAGGTGTACACATTTCGCATTATATTGAAATACATACTTTGTTTTTGTCTTGATGTTCTAATGACTTATTACTTTTTGTACCTTCGATAAACAGATCTGCACCGCATCGTATTGGAATTGCAAATGTGAGCAAACTCACTTATTTCATTATGAAGAAAGAACTTGAATAGTGGTAATGACTGAAGTGTCTTGGTCATACAGGTCTTGAGTGCTGTTGGATATCACGTTTTGGTGTTGGACTACAGAGGTGGGTTAAAATGTTGTGACTTCACTGTAGCCAATAATCACTGGAGCTCATTTCAGACTTGAACTTCTGTATATGATTTCTCTATTGCTTACTCCAATACAACATGTCAGGTTTTGGGGACTCCACTGGTGAGCCTACAGAGGCCGGTCTGTGTACTGATGTCTTATACTTGTACCACTGGGTTAAGGCACGTAGTGGAAACAGCCCGGTGTGTGTGTGGGGTCACTCGCTTGGTAGTGGGTGTGTAGAATCTGCTTTTTTAGGACTTTTGCATTTGACTTTTGCTATGTTTACTTCAAATGTATTAGAAACAATAAACACTATCAATTTAATTGTAAATAAAAAATAATATAGAATATATTTGCTGTAGTATGCACTATGTAACTGCACTATGTTTCTTTTTCAATAGTGTTGCATCTACCACTGCAGTTAAATTACTAGAACAAGGTAAGAATTTGACTGATTTAAAAACAAGCCTGCTTTTGTTTAGTAGCTAGCCTGCTTAGTGGTTCTTGTCTCACTCCTTACTGTTAATTTTAGGAACTGTCATTGTATAGTAAGCTTTAATATTTCTTTAAATACATTTCTTGACTGTAAGGGGAGAATGCTGTGTTTTTCTTTATTCTGTATATTGTCTTGATCAAAAAACTGCACATTTCTTGACAGGAAAACAGTTTGATGGAATAATACTCGAGGGTGCATTCCTAAATGCGAGGATGGAAACTAATAAACTTACCGAACACCCTTTTACCTGGGTAAGTAACGTTCAGGATCTCTGAAATCATGTCAAAACAACTGGTCCTGACAAATGAGTTTTAGGTATTTTTGTTTTAGATTTTTATTAGGTATAGATCATTTTTTTGAAACTTCCTTTCAAACATCAAAACATTATAATTGGGATTTTGAAGTGAAATTTACTTCAGGTCTGTACAATTTAATTCTGTATAATGTGAAGTTGATTATACTTTACATGGACAAACCACGCAATATCAATAATATGGGTCATTAATCATAGTTTGGTACATGTAAGTCTTATGTGTATCTCTCTTTTTTCCTTTTCTCCAGTTTTATTGGAAGTTCCCATACATTCAGTACTTCTTGTTCAATCCACTGAAAAGCAAAGATTTGAACCTTCCAACTGATGAGAAGTATGTGACATTGCTTTTTATACTGTATATTCAACATAAGGTTAATATAAAATATTATGTAATTAATATATTCAACAATATGAGTAGAAATATGATTGTGATAGTAGGCTAGTGTTATGTTACATTTGTAAATATATTGTAAACTTTTCATCTGTTGCAATTTTGTTTTGATAGTTTGCAAAAAATTCAAACCCCCCTTATGATTCTCCATGCTGAAGATGACCATTTAGTGCCCTTTGCCTCAGCTCAAGAGGTTTGTTGTATGAAACGTAATTTACCGTATGAAAAATAATTTAGAAATATATATGTTTTTACTTTACATTAAAAGGTTTTTTTTTTTGGCTCAGATCTACAGAATTGCAAAAAAGGCCCAAAACTCAGATGAGCATGTCAAGCTAGTACGATTTGATGGAGCGCTTGAATACCTTCATAATGGGCTGTATAAAGACCCTGGTTTGCCAAATATCATAAGGTGATGCCACTCTCTGAAAATGTTTTATTCATCTAAATATTACTTATTTAAAGATTTCAAATGATTTTTCGAAAAGAGATAAGGAAGGCTTTCGAGAAAAAACTACTTTCCATAAAAAGTAACAGTGAAAAATAATTAGTTACTTTTGAGGAGTAGGCTATGCGTTACTCGTTGCTAATGTTGGACATACATCACGAAATGACAGAAAAAATATTAGAAAATGGCAGCAAAATAAATGCCTATTTTCTTCATTACAGGGAGTTTATGCAGTCACTGATGACATGAGAGACACACACAGAAGGAGGAGGATTTACACCAACTAATAACTGGCTAAATAGCTGTACATCTGGTGCTATAACTGTAAATTTAGTTGTTTTAAACAGTATGCACTTCTTGGATATAAAACATTGTAATATCTGAAGTAAATTTTACAGAATTCCCCCCATCAAGGTAAATTTATTGCCTTGTTAATATTTGTAACATTTAAATCTTTCAAGACTGCAGTGAAACCTTTTTCACAATGCATAATAAAATCAGTTGCATAGATTCTTGACCCATTTAGCATTCTACAGGGTTGCTTTACAAACACATTTGGCCTGCAAAGTAGTCCTAAGATATCTAAGCTGTATAATAAGTATACTTAGATTCTACTGTATTTACTCACCAGAATTGCATTTCAACATGCATAGATAGCAGAGAATGAGGGAGAATAATGTTGAAAGCCACTTAATAAGTGGTGCAAGCCTTGTTCAGATGGGATATGCCTTTTAATCATGCAGATCTTGAAGTCTTTATCTCTTAAAAGCACATTTTGTCAACATTTATGAGTACACTGGCACATAGGTGACCTCAAGGCTAGCACACATGGACTACAAGCTACAAAAGTCTAATTTTGTTTTCTTGCCTTTAAATGTTGTGTTGGCCGTTTTAAAGTTGTCACAAAAAAAAATCAACATGTTCTAGGGTTTCTGTGGGTCTTACAAAGATCTTAAGGATTCAAGGATTCAAGGATTCAAAGCGTTTATTGTCATATGCCCAGTGAGAAATAAGACTTAAGAAGTCTTATTTCGCCCTTCCGCAAATTAAGGCCTTGCAAATCACAGCAAAAAGACTTAAATTAAATAAAAAATAAAATCAAGGCATATAATGTTGCACACACAGCAATTGTCTTTCTCTGTATTTTTGTATTGTTTTCCAGTTCAAATATATAAGCATTCTTAAATGAAGATACATTAAGATACATTTACTTCAGATACAAAATAAAGATAGAAATTTTGATAAACTGTGTTTATACGTATACAAGAATAACTATCTGTCAATGGGGAATAAATTAAGTTGATTTTTCTATAAGTACATTAGCAGATATTTGTACATTTTTAATCATAAAGCCACTTTACTTTGATCAGTTTCACAGAAAACAAGACTTCTTATCTAATGTCATTTTGCTTCTCAAGTAAATGCATCTTGATTTAAGAATCTTTAGATATTTGCACTGAAAAACCAGACAAAAATACAAATGAATAAGATTTTTTGGAGTGTGATCAGATCATTAAAAGTTATTTCCATATTCTAGTGATTTAGAGCAGAGCTATTCTTTTTTTAATAATGGGGATTGGTTGGAAGTTGTATTTTCAAACTTTAGTGTTGCTAATACAACACATTGTGCTAATTAATTTATTTATTTACTTACATATGTTACTTACATACACTTTCTCAACTCAAACTAGCTGACTTCCCAAGGTATCTCAACAATTTATCAAGACAAATGTTTTTGTAATTAGGTATTGGCCAAAATGCTACACTAGTTCTCCCAAAACAAAACAAAGACTAGGGGGTATTCCGAAAGCAGGTTATGTGATATACAGTAACCAGGTATGTTTAAGGGTAAGTAAGCGGATAAACTCAGCATTCAGTTACAAAAACTGAGGTAACTTTCAGGGTATGTAAGCAGAGGCGGACAAAGTACTCAACTCCATTACTTGAGTGAAAGTACAGATACCGCTGGTCAAATATTACTCCATTACAAGTAAAAGTTGTAAAGACAGACAAAGGGTGCCTCGACTAAAAAAAGGTTGGGAAACACTGATCTAAAGGACAAACAACACAAAAAACTGCCTTGTCCGAAACCCGAATAATAATATGTCAGCTCTCTGAGGTTTCACAGCTCTTGTATTTGTTAACTGAAGCTATTTTTAAATGTAAATTTTTTAATAGTTTTAAACTAACAGTGACACATTTGCTGATTATGCGTAATCTTTTACTTCCTTTTTTTGAAGTTTCTATAAATGAACAGGAGTGTGGTTTTACATCCTGCTGAGCAACCGGCCTTTCCACCGCTTCTCAGATGACGACTACACGTAACGTAACGTCACTTTCAATCAATAAATGATACAGAGAACCAAGACCCCGCCCTACACTTTTTTTCAATAACCCACCCCCAGTTTATTTTTCAATAATCTGTTACACTCAGGTGTAATACAATACAGAAAATATTTGTTGATACTTCCGTTTCATTGTGATTTTAAGTGCCATAGTGTGTCCAAATGTCATATGTGTCAGGATCTACTAACTTTAGACAGCATTTTGGGGGTGCATTTGAATGTCGTTCTCCTGTCATGAATTTCCTTACAGAATTCATCAGGATTTCGGATGTTGGCAGGTATATTCTCACTATTGAATAGAATATTAACAACTGTGGTATGACGCATGATCAGTTTAGACAAGTTGATTATGGGTATTTACTAAGATTGGATCTTCCATTTCACAGCTTTCATAACATTACTGGAAGTATTCAATACCACACACAACAATCTGTGATGATGAATTATAATACATAAAATACGTTGTCATTTATTTATATATATATATATATATTGTCTCAAAAGATCTGGGGACTTCTGATAGTGTACAGGCTCTTTTTTGTTCAAACCAATGCCAGTGAGAATACCTCTGAGCGTGGAAGACAGTGTTTAAGGTTTCATGAATACAAACAATTCAATTCAAGTTTATTTGTATAGCGCTTTTCACGATACAAATCGTTGCAAAGCAACTTTATAGAAAATTAAGTTTCTACAGTATTCAGTAGTACCTTATCAGTGGTGACTGTCAGTTTATGTACATATGGCAGAAATGTATGGAAAAATTTATTAAAGACGTAATCAAACAGACGATTAACACTATTTACAGCAATTATTATATGATGCAATCAAACTTATAACAACATGCAACAAACATGCAGCTGTCTTCTCTTCCTCTTATTCTCATGTTCATTTTATTTAGACCAGTGCATCCAGTGTCGCGAGTGCTGCTGTATTGCCCTTTAGATTCAGATAGGACGGTGTAACACTACCTAATTTTCAGGTTCACACCCTTGCTGTGACTCTTAATTCAAAGAATTAAAGGGATAGTTAACCCAAAAAATAAATAAATAAATAAATCTTAATTCTGTATCGAGATAGTCTACATCCCTGGATCAATTACATTTCATGTCTATTGGGTGACCTTATGTCTAATGTCTTGTTATTTGCCTAAGGGGAAAGGGTCTTTCATTATGAATAACAAACCTTGTTAAACATACAATAGGATACTAATAACCATTGAAAGGTGACAAAAGCATTGCTTCAAAAAAGTCTGTGTCATAAGTTCTGTGTACTTTATTCTGTAGATTCTAAAAACTGGTTTGACAGCAGCTTTTGAATATGTATATCAGTGAGCAGTCTATAGTTCTTCCCTTGTTAATGATAACTTAAAGGGGTCATATGATGTTGCTAAAAAGAACATTATTTTGTGTATTTGGTGTAATGAAATGTTACATGATTCACAAGTTGGTTGAACATCTTAGGCACACGTTTTTGTGCTGTTGATGTAGTACATCATATTGGTCACTAGACAAAACTGTGTGCAGTATTTTTTTTGTATAAATAACTGAAAAATCTTTTGTATTTGAAAGTTTGATGTTATTTATGGAGTTTTCTCCACTGGAAATGTCTGGTAGTATGTGTATTGCAGGAATTGCAGTACAATCAGTTATTTATAACTCTTAAGATTTATCCATTATCTTTATTTTTTTAAATAGCATTGTATAAAATTTGCTTGCCTGTCCACTTGGAGGACACACAGATTTTAACTAAAGACTTAAGTGAAGTGTATAATGTTAAACAAGTGAACCAGCTTTCTTTTTTGAAGCAGTTTTTCCTTCAAGCTTGGTCTCTGGTTATTTTATTTTGCTTTTGCTTGAGGTTTTGGCAGCATCACATCATTTTGTCTGTCTTAATTCTAAAATCTCTTTTCTGCCAGCTGACTTCATCTTGAATCAAAGATGTAATTTTTATGGGTGTGCTTGGGCCCTGGATAGCAGACTGTGTGCGTGTCTGTGGATTCAGAAGTGATTATATTAGTTTGCTCTATTTGAAGAATTGTTTAAGGACAAAATGCAGTCTAGTTTCTGTTTATTTTAAAACTTTGTCTTTCAAATGGTGACATCCTGGAGTTGAATTAACATCACAAAGAAGTAGATGCTGATATTTGGAACAGGTAGCTGATGACTGCTCTCTTTCTTCTGCAGTACACAGATAAAGAGGAGGTGGTTCTATGGATGAATACAGTGGGCCCTTATCACAACCGACAGGAGACTTATAAGTACTTCTCCCTACCGTTCTGCGTGGGCACCAAGAAAACTATTAGTCACTATCATGAGACGTTGGGAGAGGCGCTGCAGGGGGTTGAATTGGAGTTCAGCGGTCTGGACATCAAGTTCAAAGGTATGATTGTATGTTAATATGCCTAGCGTGTTAACCTATTCAAATTAAGCTTATCAAAGGAACAAGAATTAAAAAGTAATACTATGTAAATTAAATTCGTAGTTCATTCACGTTTTTGTTGGTTAGTAAGTATTATTGCTCTTGTGGTGATTGTAAGAATGCAATGTGGATTTGTCTTTTACAGAGGAGGTGATGCAGACAACCTACTGTGACATTGAACTTGACAAACCTAAAAGAGATGCGTTTGTCTATGCAATCAAGAACCACTACTGGTACCAAATGTACATAGATGATCTTCCCATCTGGGGTAAGTAAGCAGGAAGTGTACAAAACCCTGGCACTGGTTTGTTTTCAGATTTTCTCTGTTTTGTACGTGGTGGTGTTGAGTAAAAGTGCTGTCACATTAACCGTTGCTCGACAAATCAATCATTAGTCATTGCAATAGGAATCCACCCATTCAGGAGTTTTGCTTGAGGGCAAAAAGGTTCCCTATGCAGATTTTACTCATGTTCAAGTTGGCCACACAAATGTGCCATGCTGACCAACAGAAAGCTACTTTGAAAAAGTAACTGCTGTGAGAGTAGTGCTTCATACATTTTAAATTGAGTAATTTTGTTATGCGCCTTTATCATTTTTATTCTTTTTTGTTTTTTATGTTTCTGTATAGCTTTAATTTATTTATTTCAGTTTTAGTCATTTTTGTACTTAGACTTGAACTTGTTTCAGTTATTTGCCAAGGCAACATTTGTCTTTTTTTTTGTTTTGTTTTGTTTTTTTTTTTTGTTTAATTTTGCTTTTAATTTTTATATTTTAATTTATTTCAGCTTGATTTCAATTATAGATTTACAGATTTCAAATAAAATAAGACCTGTTAAATGTAGTCCTGTAGTTGTGAAGGGTAAACAATATATATTTGAGACAAATCTGTTAGTACAAACAACAAAAATTATGAATAGTTTTATGATTATCATTTTAGTAATCAAAAAGACCAGATGAGGCTTTTTGTTCATGTGTGACCTTCACCAAAATGTGATTACAATTCTGGTGCGTATGACATTGTTCTTGTTTGGGCCCATCATTTCTGTGCGGATGTGCAGAGACGAGGTTACCAACTGCTCTCTAAGGTACGGTTAACTTTGTACACCTCACCAATGATGAGAATGCATTGGACACTAATTTTAGAGGTGTTCTTGGGACTCATCTTCTCGGAGCAGAGAAATTGGCAACATCTGTAAATCTGTATGTATTTGGGCCTGTATTAAGTGTCTCCTGGGACAATTCTGGTGGTTTTTGATGAGAACGCATCTAAGGATTATTTATTTGTCCATTATGCAACATTTGAGGCTGACGAGAAGGTCATCAAGTATGCTTGGTGTTGTGTCCTATCATGAGCATCAGGCTGAGTGAAAGTGGAGGTTTGAAAATACTGAGAAAAATACAGCATTTGGTGCCCACATGTCAGCCACTGTTCCGCAAGTTAATAACTTTATTAGTATCTGCCCTGCATCCCAGCTTGCACTGCTCCAACCCTGCACTCAGCGAGATGCAATGGATGCCCATCTTTAGGGTGAGAGTCTCCATCTAGTCATCTTTGCCACTTTACTGGACAGTGTCTCTTGTCCTTGGATGCTGTTGTCTCTTGAGCCTTTGGTCACAAGGTGAATGAACCGTGTTTATGATTGAGGCCCATGAAGCCTTTGAGGATAGCAAAACATCATTCAAAATCACTGAGGTAAATTTTCATGGTTTCAAAGGTTTCCTTCAAATTGGAATCAGTTTTAAGCTCATGGTGATTCTGGAGGGTACTAGCAACCCCTTAGCACAGCTCACCCAGCTCTGACCCATCCTCCATCAAGCTGCTGAGTGTCTCCTCTTGGTTAATCAGAAAATGGTTGTCAGCAAAGCATGTCCACATTTCCAAAAGAGACTTCAGCAGACCTTCTGAGCGATAAAGCCACCATAATTCTAGGTGCTCTAGAAACTGGCCTCTTTCAATGGCATCTTGGACCCTAACACACCGTTCGTTCTTCACATCAAACAGCTTGTGTGGGAGCAGCAGGTGGGGGACTCAAGTTGACAGGGATGCTGAGATAAAGCCACCATAATTCTAGGTGCTCTAGAAACTGGCCTCTTTCAATGGCATCTTGGACCCTACACACCGTTCGTTCTTCACATCAAACAGCTTGTGTGGGAGCAGCAGGTGGGGGACTCAAGTTGACAGGGATGCTGGAACAGAAATGCTTTAGAAAGCTCTTTGAGATCCATTGTGAGCTGACAAAATAGCTATATATTTTTTCTGGAAGCTTCCCATCCACTGACCATCTTCTCACTCTGTTTAAATGATCTTGTACCTCAGATAATGTTACTTAGCCATTAACTAATTCTCAAAAAAAAAAGCAGACCTTTCAGTGCCTGGAAGGGAAATCCGTTTATTGAAGTATTTTTAAATACTCCGTTTCCCTCCAGGGGACATTTTAACAAACCATTACTGCTCAACAGTACTAATGAAATGTAACTCCCTTGGTGTTATTGTTGTAAAACCATTTGTTCTGAAAGAGCAGCAGGGTTAATAAGTGTTCTAATAGTTGCTCATGATGAATTAAGGATATTTGATTATGGGAAGGAAAAAATAGGCTTTAACTGGCATCTGAGTGAGCTATATGTTTTTTTGAGATGTTTTGTTTCTTTTATGATTTTTGAAGCAGATAGAACTATAGAGATAAAATACTGCATTTGATCTGATATGCATAATAGTAAGTTTGTCTCAAAAGCTTGAAAATGTTTTTATTGGTTCTATGCTTGAAACGACAATGTGAAATGGTATTCGCAAAGCGTTTAATGTCTGTGATGTGAAGCATTTACACAATATTCAAGAGGAAATACAGCAGACATATCTGTTAGGGTTGGGTTATAAAATGTTAGGCTGTGATATTAGTGGTAGGTAGAGAAAGTTCTGACATTTTGATGAAAGAATAACATACAGAACTGAATCATTGCCAATAAGACCAGAGACAGATATTGAGTAAAATGTCAATTTTGATTGAATTTAGTTGGATTTAATTTACTTGTTTATTTAAACTGATAATATACTGTTGACATTATGTGAAGTTTTTACCTTCATTCTTAATTGAAAATTGTTTTGTGGGATTATTTAAGGAATTGTTGGTGAAGCTGACGAGAATGGTGAGGACTATTATCTCTGGACTTACAAAAAGCTGGAGATTGGACAAAATGGGAATAGAATTGTGGATGTTAACCTGACCAGCGAGGGGAAGGTCAAGCTTGTGCCAAACACAAGAATTCCCATGTCATACTCCGTGAGTAAAGCTTTCCTGAGCCCCAGAAACCTGCTAATATTTACTCATACTTCTTAAATTGTCACTTGAAATTCAACTTTGTGTGTTTTGTCTTTATTTTTGTTTTCCTATATTTTTAGCATTTTAGCTGTTTTGCCCAAACAAATTGTATACTAATGCTTATTGTGTGAAAGAAGTCAGTGTTTCCTTCCTTGGCTCCTTAGATACCTCATACATATGTATAATATTACAATCTTTTTGGCGATCTCACAGGTGAAGTGGAAGAAATCTGATGTGAAATTTGAAGATAGATTTGACAAGTACCTTGATCCATCCTTCTTTCAACACAGAGTAAGTGCCACATTTTGTTTGATAAAATGTTCCCAATAAATATATAAAATGTGCTGAATGATAAATTTAATATATTGAAATTTTTTTTTTTTTTTTACCTGACAGATTCACTGGTTCTCAATATTCAACTCTTTCATGATGGTGATTTTCCTGGTTGGCCTTGTTTCAATGATCCTGATGAGGACATTAAGGAAAGACTACGCCAGATACAGCAAAGAAGAGGAAATGGATGACATGGTGATCACTTAGAGAGAACTTTTGAAATACTTTATTAAATGAGCCTGTCAAACCCCATCGCTTTTTAATTTATGCATGTCTGTGATGAATTAGTTGATTCACAAACTTACAGTGACTGATGTGTTTTAGTTCTGGTAACAGCTCTACAATTTAATGCTACATTTCTCTCAGGGTTGTCATCTTGCTCTCTGCATTTTGTCAAAACTCGTATTATGTTTTTTTTCTTTATCTTGCTATCAGGATCGTGATCTTGGTGATGAATATGGATGGAAGCAGGTTCATGGTGATGTGTTCAGGCCGTCCAGCCATCCGCTGATCTTCTCCTCCCTCATTGGCTCTGGCTGTCAGATCTTCTCTGTTTCCCTCATAGTCATCATTTTGGCTATGATTGAGGACTTGTATACAGAGTGAGTTTCACCTATGATTATCATGGCAGTCATAAACTACTTGCCTATGTATTGTTTAATTATCATGTACAGAGCTGTAACAAAAATGACTGCATAATCGCGATATACATTTGTACATTTAACAGGTCTTAAGGTCCTAGATAACATCTAGTGTACACATTTCCTTAAGTGCCTATCAAAGGAATTTTATGTTTGCCTTTGTAGGAGAGGGTCCATGCTGAGTACAGCCATATTTGTTTATGCTGCCACATCTCCAGTCAACGGCTACTTTGGTGGAAGTCTATATGCAAAACAAGGAGGTATGCAAACGAATATGTGTAACATTTGCTATAAGGATAGCTCCAAATATAATTTTAACAGTGTTAACTATAGATAAGTTATAAATGTAAGCATTTTAGGACCAGATATACTCGCAGCAAATATATATATTATACACACACATACAACACACATACACACTCTTAAATATTGAAACATTGTGTTTATTTAAAAAAAAAAAACGAAATATTATATACTATACAATTTGATGAACAGAGGTGTGACATGCGTTCTTATATATTCTTAATATAGCCTATCGAAGGTGTCCAGGGAATTGCACAAGGTGAAATGATGTACATCCTTTTTTAGTTTCTTCTTGTTGTTTCTTTCAACTATTTTACATAATTTGTACAGGGAGAAGATGGATAAAACAGATGTTCATAGGAGCTTTTCTGATTCCTGCCATGGTGTGTGGCACAGCATTCTTCATCAACTTCATCGCTATCTACTACCATGCCTCCAGAGCCATCCCATTCGGCACCATGGTGAGATCCTCATCTGCCTTATATAGTGTCTAGTCCTACATGCCTACATGTACGTTTACGTACAAGTCAATCTCAGGCTGATTTTACAACTGAGATCAACTGCTAAGTAAGGAAAGGCAGTCACTTGTATATGTTATTTTGGACCACTGAATTTGGTTGAAAACACACTAGTGTCATTATTTAGTTTCTAATCCTCTTGATAATACACATAATCCCTAGCAGTCTTAAAGCATTATTTGCTTGGTAAAATTCTTGTTGCATCTGAAAAAAATGTCATATTTCTCATTTGTTCGATCAGGTTGCAGTGTGCTGCATCTGTTTCTTTGTAATTCTACCTCTGAACCTCGTGGGGACAATTCTGGGCAGGAACCTTTCCGGTCAGCCCAACTTTCCTTGTAGGGTCAATGCTGTACCCAGACCCATCCCAGAGAAGAAATGGTAACCTCATCCAATATTCACACATCACAGACTGACTCAAACAAGCTCAGTTGTCTTGATATTGTGCGATATTCACCATTGTGTAATTTTTTTCATTTTTGTTTTCTGTGATTACATAATATATGTAAATATGATCTAAGTAATTTGAAAGTAAATATTGTAAATGTTTTCTAAGTAAAATGTAATTATCATTATATAAAATGGTAGTTATAGATAGCTATAATCTATATTTAGTCTTGTTACTAAATGTTTCTCTGATTGGCAGGTTTATGGAGCCGGCGGTTATTGTGTGTCTAGGAGGCATCCTTCCATTCGGGTCTATATTCATTGAGATGTAAGTCTGTACATTGGTTCTGGATTTATATTTATTAGGGGCGCTCCGATTGATCGGCTACCGATCGCTATCGGCCGATAATGGCTTGGGGAAGTTTGAATGGCGGTCTCTATAAAGGTCGATCTCATAAACCGATCTCAGGCTGACGACGCGCCTGCCGTGAGAGGTTTGGCATGACATGCAGCAGCACCGTCTCAATCTGACCGGCGCGGGCAAAAAAATTATAATGCTGATGGTGAGGTACAATTCATATTTCTTCAGTAAATAACTTACAAAGTGAGTGAATCACTCACGCTGTCTCTCTCTTTCCCTCTCTAACTGCGCAAATGGCTTCAAATCACCACATCGCTTCTGCACAATAAGCGAGCTGCACAGTTCACACAGGGTTTGTCACTTGCACAATCAAGGCAGTGTTGCATCATCACTAAAGTTTATCATTTTCATTTCTTTTTAATTGTTGCCCGTGTTTAAATCATTCAGCACTTGCGTGCTCTCCTAGAGTCGGTGCGCTTCTGCACACTCAAAGTGCGCACAACGTCAGGTTCACACATACTCTTGCTTATATTTTTTGCATTTAAACACGTCTATGAAAGATTGTATTACTGTACTGCTTAAAAAGAGAATCACAGTGCTCAAAAAGCATTTTCAGTAACAACGTTTAGATTTGAAATCAAAATGGATAAATGTTTTGTTTGTGGTAAACAGCCATGGATCAGTGGACCTCTGTGTGAAAGCACAATGAGTCTGTGCTGCTTCTGCACCACTTACGTACCACACATGGACTGCAAACGGAGTATGTGAACCTGGCATGAGGCCGCCTCACATACAGCTCACAAAATCAGACTTGTGCTGTAAGCTATTGCGCAACAATTGCCCCATTGTAAAAACAAAAATGCACTGCATGATCAAACATTTAGGTGAGATAATTATATTTTTTTGAAAAATGTAAAAAAAAAAAAAAAAATAAATAAATAAATATCCCCCCCCAAAAGAGTCACCTAAGAGGGGAATTCCCCCTATTTTCAAAAATGAAATTCAGGCCCTGAATGAATGTCTGTAAAAAATCCTGACTGGAGCATCACTATAAATAATTCTACATGATAAAAAAGAAGGCTTCAAAAAGATCGGTATTGGCAGATACTGCTTCCTGTGATTGACAATCGGTGATCAGCCCAAAAAATCCTGATCGGAGCACCCTTAATATTTATACCCATAACTAATATGAATATCTATAAGATTAAAAACTGCCTCACATCTTCCTTCAGGTACTTCATCTTCACATCTTTCTGGGCCTACAAGATTTACTATGTGTATGGATTTATGATGCTGGTGTTGGTGATCCTGTGCATTGTTACAGTCTGTGTTACCATCGTCTGTACCTACTTCCTTCTCAATGCAGAAGACTACAGATGGTAAGGAGCATTTACTTCCCGTGTTGCCATATTTATAATGCTGTTTCTCTCATGCAGTTTAATTTGTTTCTACATCCATCCTCCCTTGGGATCAGACCACAGAGGCGTTTAAATGTCTTGTAGGGTGGTAAATACAGCATAACCAGATGACATCATGAGACTAAATGACAGTAATTGTTTTAAGATTAATGTAATTTAACTTTTTTTTTTTTTTTCAGGCAGTGGACAAGCTTTCTCTCTGCAGCGTCAACAGCTGTTTACGTTTACATGTACTCCTTCTACTACTATTTCTTCAAAACAAAGTGAGATTTAGTTCCTTTTCCTCAAATGTCATTATATGAATGCTTGCTATTTAAACGACTCATTTACTCACCCCCAGCCACTCGAAATGCACCATTTCCTTTTTATGCACCATAAAAACGATATTTTGCAGAATTTCCAAGCTGCTATTTTCTATAAAATGTTTTCTCTTAAGTGAAAAGCTCTGCAAAACATTAACATTTACCATAAAAAGTTTTTCATTAGTTTTTTTTTTTTTGAAGGTTGGGGTGGGCTTGGTGGCACAGTTACATCTTGCCTGATATTGCATGAATTTTTCACCAAATCATATGATCAGATTCTATTCGTTTGTTTGTTTTTTAAGCATTATTACACTTTAGGTGACCCCCCATCACTACCCTTGTTCATTTGCATCTTGTAGAACGGTCTCAAAAATAAGTGCTTCATTGACTTTGTGCTGCTCATAGAGGAGTTAGTCATCAGCTTTTTATTTAAAGAGTTTAAAGGCTATTCATTGTCTTGGACAGCCGTCTCTTTTGTGCTTATTTTTGTATCCATGATCTGAACCAAAATTGTGAATCTCACACAATTTAGGCACACATGCTAAATCTGTGCAGACATACTGTACATGTAAGTGAAGTTATTGTACACTTTACTAGATGTTTTCATGGTTACTAAGTGCAGACACACTTAAACCAAGCTCTTGTTCTTATTTTTCTTATGTTCCATTGTGTAAATACAGTATGTAACTAAAAAAAAAAAAGTTTGAGAAGTGGCAAAGCCTTTTTCTAAACCTCATTCCTCCCGGTTTAAAAAATTGATTTCTGGTTCTTCATGTCATGTTCCATGTGATGTCTAAAGAGACATTTTAAACATATTAACTTGCTGTAAAAAGGAGAAAAAAAGAAATAAACATTGTTTTTGAGGTTATGTAGGCATGGTTTATATATGAAGGTTGAAAGTTTCTGCCCAAAGACAGCCAAGTATTTGATGGGAACTATAAGAATTACACACAAATCAGTATGTAATTGATTGCACTTTTCAGTAGAATAAACAAATGGTGTGATGGCAGCTTCATCTTTCTTTAGCATAATAAGTGTTTGTCAAAATAACTTGTAATATGAAGACCATCTTGATTAAGAATCAAGCTTTAGTAGTTCGACCTCTTTAGTACAAAGGCAAATTTTTAAGCTATTGTGCTTACAAATTATTTGACCTCATAATCTTTAATCAAAATGTCAAAAATTCTTTGCTTGTGTTGGAGAGTGGAGCACTTTGGATAGAAAGCATCTGCTATGGCAAAGAGACAAATCCATGACAGTGCAGTTTTTATTTGGACAGCGTAACAAATACATAAATCAAAACAGATTCTGCTCCCTAATAACTGCCAACATACTGATACATGAAGTCTATAAATATGTATATTTCTTTTGGATATGAATTATGGACTAATTTAAGTGCTTAGATCTGTGTGATCTGTCAGTACCAGTAGTTTTGAGTTTTCAGTTGACCTTCTCAAAGTATTCCTTCGAGCCATCTGGAGTTGGCTTAATCTAAAACAAACAGAAAAGACAATTACATGAATGCAAAGTCAAAACATAAACAACAAAACCCTTACATTTCACATCTATGGCCATGACAGATTTACTAAGTTCATTGCTGGCCAAATACTACCAATTCACAACAACTGAAAGCTAAAGCTGCTGTCATTTGACTTGGAGCATGCAAAATTTCTACAGACAATGTACAGCGAAATTTGCATGATTCACATTCATGTTTCCTGTTTCCTGCATTCACATACATATGAATGGAAGTCAATTGAACAGAAAGCGTAAGGTAACCAGCCCTTAACAGCTTTATAAAGAGTGTACAGGTTTATAAAAAAAATAGTAGTAGTCTTTCATGCACTAACCTGATGTTATTTGTGTTAAAGGGGTGGTTCATTGCGATTTCACTTTTTTAACGTTAGTGTGTAATGTTGCTGTTTGAGCATAAACAATATCTGTAAAGTTCGTAACTTTAAAAACTTTAAAGCTGAAAGTTCAATGCAAACGGAGATATCGTCTTTTAAAATTCTGGCAGTTTAATGCCTACAAAAACGGCTGGTTCTTCCCGGGTTCGTGACGTAACAAACCCAGATAAACCCCGCGCTCGGGAAATGGCAACAAAGGGGGCAAGGCCATGCTGCACTGCTTTAGAGAAGAGGAAGAGAAAACTAGAGGTGCACGTACAGTTCCTCACGTCCCCCTGCTCTGCACACGCTCTGCATCTCTCTCTCATTCAGCTCAGCTCCAACAATGAACTGTTACAATTATACACTTATTTTCACATAGCTATGAGAAGCGTTAAACATGGACGCGCGTGCAGTTGCCGTACTGTATTAAAGCTTTAATCAGGATAAAACAAGGCGGGGCATAGAGGAGAAACAATAATGCACAGTATGTGGAAAATAATGTGTTTTTTTAACTTTAAACCGCATAAACACATTTCATTACACCAAATACACAAAATAATGTTATTTTTAGCAGCATCATATGACCCCTTTAACACATGTTAGACTGCACCCCATAAACACAATCAAGCCTAGAAAAAAAAACAGTGAACCACCCCTTTAACACACAAAGACCTACTAGTAAAAGCCGTAAAAACTCACTGTGGGCGCCTTTGGGGTCCAGCTGGCAGGACAGACTTCACCATGGGTTTCCACAAACTGGAAGGCCTTGACCAGGCGGAGGGTTTCCTCAACAGAGCGTCCAACTGGCAAGTCGTTTACACTCATGTGTCGAATCACTCCATTAGGATCAATAATGAAAAGACCCCTATAATGTGTAACATTTGGTTTTAAATACATTCCTCCTGAAAAGCAAATTATGCAGCCTAACAATGCATGAACAACTTATAAGAACTACAAAAAATGTTTGTTAATGACTGCACGTTACCTTAGTGCAATTCCAGGACCCTCCAGCAGGACCCCATAGTCCCTGGACACTTGCTTTGTGAGGTCAGCCAACAGGGGAATGTGGATTTTCCCTAATCCTCCACTCTAAAGATAAACCAGAGTTTAGCCAGTGATCTTAAGATTTGCTATGAATTGGGCATTTCTGTTGCTAGTTTCCCAATAACTTGATCCTATTTAGAGAATTGAGAATGTTGAATGCAAAGTCAATTATAAACCTTTCTCGGGGTGTTGGTCCAGGCCAGGTGGGTAAAGTGAGAGTCCACAGACACACCAACTACTTCACAGTTTATATCATGAAACTCATTGGCCTTGTCACTGAAGGCGATGATCTCTGTGGGGCAAACAAATGTGCTGCCAAGTGGGCAGAAATGACTAAGCATTAAAAATAAGTAACTTAACAGTAAATAATTTAGAATGATTATAGAATAATTTATACATATAATTAAAAGAGATATTTAATGAATACATAATTATTTAAATAAATTATTAACAATAATTAATTGCAACGTAACTTCTATTCTTTTGAAAGCTGAGACAATCTTAAGCATGAGTGCATGCTGTATTTCCACAGTCCATATTTATTTCTTCAGAGACAAACTTACGTACTAATGAACCTTTCCTAAGTCTTCTATACTAATGAACTTTACTTAAGTATCATTAAATTGTTTAATATACACCAAGCTGTAGATCAAAACAGAAATTGTACATATTGACTAGAGTTTAGGAACAAAGTGAAATATGTACACTTACAAATCTAGTGGGTAAAAGAAAAGGACCAGGTATTTGCCCTTGAAATCTTCTAGGCTGATCTCCTTGAACTCTCCATTGAGAACAGCAGTGCCTTTGAAGTGAGGGGCTGGCTGAGTGACTGCTGGGGCCCATCTAGCAGCGCCTGATATTTACAAACATACATGATGGATTTGTAAAAATATTTAAAGGCAAGAATCTAATTACGTTTTAAGACTTACTGATTGAGAAGCAAGCTTTTTGTGCAGCAATGCAAGCAAGGGGTTTTGGAGCCCTGATCACTGATGCTCCATTGTGAGGGACCAAAGCTTTCAGTCCAGTGACTGCAACTCTTCCTGCCTGTTGTGAAAAGGAGGGACATGCATGAAAGAGCCGTTACACAAGTTGGTTATCACTGTTCAACAGACAGCATGCCCGTGCATCATGTGTACATTGTAAAATATTTAAAACTATACAGGCTCACTGAACAAGAGGCACATTCCACGAATGCTGTACACTTGGATGTTTTTTTTTTTTTTTTTAAGCGATGCCCAAATGTTTTATAAAGAGATTATACATGTTTCATATATATTTACCTAACATAAACTGGCTGCTTTTCATGTTAGATTAAAATACATCAAACTGTTAATCACTTATTTATTATCATTTATTAATTAAAAATGGTTTGCAAAATATCTGCGTAACAACTGTTTATGCACTGCTAATTCGTCTGACAGTAACTTGACAAGTGGACGTTATACAAGCAGTTTAAAGGTTAAACATTGTGAAACGTATCTGCTAAATAAACGACGACTAACAGAATCAAACTAAATCACATTTGCACCGAAATGCAAAGCAACACTTATTCCTCGGAATAATCGTTCGCGGCAGAAGTGTTACTTAGCGCTACTGCTAAAAGAAACTTACAGAAGTCCCAAGAAGTCTCCCGATGGTGGCTGCCATCTTGCCAATGTGCTCAATGCAATGCGCAAAAAAAACCTTGAGCATCAAAGCTGCGTACTAATTTTGCATTAGTTGCGCAGCGCACACACACCGCGACATACAAATTTGCATGTTTTTTTATTATTATATTTGATACATCAGTTTTTTATGGCTCATGTGAAACAGTGAGAATATGGAGCTTACTCGAAGAGTAAAAAACACGTTTATTCACAGCAAAAATATGCAATTTGGTGCAGCTGCTATTTATATGGCCCAAACATAAGATGAAACAAAGAACACATGTACCACGACCTGAAGGTGGACAGTTCTAGAATTATACTAAAAGGCACTTTACATACTAAACAAAGTAACTGTCAATCAGATTGCAGAAGGCATGTAGTAGACTGAGCAACAGGTTTTGCAGCAAAGTTTGATCATGTTGATGATTAACAGAGCATGGCAATATATTTCATTTTTATTTGTTTTTTTAATTAATATTTTTCCTTTTTTATTTATTTATATATATATATATTTATTTATTTATTTATTGATAAATAACAATGCAACATACAACACCCTTTATTTTTTTTACATGTTCAAAATATGCTATGGATTGGTTTGAAGATAAATTTGGGTCAAATATCAAGATATCTGTTTCTGGATTTTTTTGTTTATTTTTTTTTTTGTCGCTGTTTTATGTTGATAGTAAAAAAATTAGTTTTTTTTTTTGTAATTGGATAACGTCTGAGCATGTGACATGCGGAAGCGTCTCAGCTCGAGCATGTCTCATCGGCGTGACCTACACAAGTTAATCTTTTTGTAACAGAAAATGAGTAATTGATTGTTGATGTTGATTGTTGAAAAGCTCAAATGGACCCCAACTTACAGTTCTGGCAAAGCAATGGGCAGGTACGTGTGTGATGTTGCCTACTCAGTAAAAATCAAGTTGTGATTTAAATGTCTTAATGAAAATGATATCAGCCACAAACAATTTAATAAATTCATAATTTTGCAGTCTTTTCTAAGCAGACTGCGTCTCTGGTTCAAATTCCTCGACCCCAGTTCTGTGTTGTCATCACAGGTGAGTTGCTGCATCGCTACATCAGCTCATGTACATTACAATATATCATGAATCACCCCAGTACAGTACAGGCTTCTAATACAAAGCCTAGATTAACAGTATCACGTGCACTGGACACGATGAAACGAACGCTGTGATATTTGTTCCTTGCTTATAACATTGTTTACATTAATAAATGACAGCAAAATACCCAATGTTTTTTTTCCCTTAGGCTGAAATTGAGCAGGCCCGGACACTTCTTCAGAATGAGGGACATAAACAAAGAAATGAAAAAGTAGGCTGCTTAATATGTTTAGTATTTATTTGTTTATTACTTAAACTTTCCTTACTTTAGTATCAGTTTAAAAACTTGATAGTGTTCCTTTATTTCTCTCTCTAGGTTGCTAATGCCTGGTTACTGTCTCTTGTAAGTTCCTATGAATTTACGTTTTTTTTTAAGCGGGCATGACTAACAATAGATACCGATTCTTCAGACATGGGACAAAATTGGCTAGAGAACTAATAGAATAAATTATTTTGGATTAAACTGAGTTCACATATGTTTTTGTGCTATCTCCTGCTTCTTCCATTGTGTCACAAACAAAGTATAATTATCTAAATATAAATAAATATCTAAATATAAATAGATTAAAATGGAACATTTGTGTAAAGAATGATTTCCACTGCAACGTGTAATCACAGGTAAAAGTGTGGGACATGTCTGTCCCGTTTCAGTCAATTACATGTTGGTTACAGCCGTGACTGGCTGTCCAAATGTGGTTTTAAGACACGGTTTGATTTTGCCCTAAACTAAAACATTAACATTTTTATACATTTCACACATGTTTCGTCATTAACATTGTTACACTTTTTTTCAGTCATCTGTCCATCCTGATACTGGAGCTGTAATCTCACCAGTGTTTCGTTCTCAAGGTACAGTAACAAACTTGAATGTTTGTGTCCGTAGAGATATTGCTTCATTAATGTGAAGCAATTTGCATTCATCTGAACTGAAATTTTTTTATTTTGGTCCTCTGATGACACATCTATTTCTTTTTTGTTTTCAGTTTTTCTACCTATATCTGCTCCCTTGGTGAGTTCTAAAATTTAAAAAAAGTAGATTGAGAATTGAGAAATAAGCAAATGTAAATTTGGTTGACAAAGGTATATACAGTGGTGGCCAGAATTATTAGAACACTAGTATTTTCACCAGCTAAAAAATGATTTTAAGTCAGTTATTTCTATCTTTCCCTGTAGTGTGTCAGTAGAAAATATCAGTTTACATGTCCAAAGATTAATTTTGCCATTAATTGTAATAATCCAGTGAGATTTTTGTTTGCACAAGGAGTCTGACAACAACCAGTGCTGCACACAGAGATCTGATCTCACCAACATCCAGTCTGTCTGGAATGACATGAAGAAACAGAACAAACTGAGACAGACTCAATCCAGAAGAACTGTGGCTGCTTCAAGAAATCTACCTGCAAAGTTACAGTACTGTTAAAAGTTTTAGGCACTAGTTTAAAAAATGCTGTAAAATGAGTATGCTGTCAAAAATAATGTCATAAATAGATTTTCTTTATCAATTAACTTCTATTAACTAAATCAAGTCAATATTTGGTGTAACCACCCTTTGCGTTTAAAGCAGCTTTTGCCCTAGGTACACTTACGCATAGTTTTCCAGGTAGCTTTGCAGGTAGGTTTCTTGAAGCATCTATATATCTGAAATGAAAGATCCCACCTGTTTTTATTTCTACAGGTTGTTGCAAGTTTAATACCCCACAAAGGCATTAAACCTGCGTTGTTCTGGCAAGTAAGTACATTTTACATTTATGTATTAATTTGTCGTTTCTTGTCAACAAACCATTTTGGTAACAATTTTTGCTATAGTTTTTGCTTCAGGCATACTGTGCAGGATTCAACCATGCTAACAGAAATGCAACAGCGACTAAGGTAAACAATGTTGTCTTTTATTAAAATTTAAATGATATAAAATAATGGTCTTTGTGGCAGATTATTTTAACCACAGTTATTTCACTTTTTTTGCTTAGGATAACAAAACGTCAATGAAGCAGTCCATTCTTATTGTTGGAACAGTTGCCTACTCGGCATTTGCAGGGGTAAGAGAGATTTTTGTCACAGTCCTGGCTTCTCAGTCAATAAACCGTTTTCATCTGATGATTTTATGTTCGGTTTATTGTTAACGTACAGCAGGTGTGAGAATCTCATGAAACCTGTCAAGGTTCAAAGTTCATGTCTGGGTCATGTTACACCCCGACATAAAAAGAAAGAAACCAGTGATTATGTTAATCTTAAAGAAATTAAATCCTTATTTAGGACCATTCAGATGTGCATTAAAGTGATAATAATGCAATATACGTAATTTTAATGACAATTAGGCACACATTTTCTCCAAATTATCATTATCATAATGCAAAAAAAATGTAATTCGAATTAATGTTTTGATGGGAAAATACTAAAATGAATTAAATATTAAAATATTTAGTTTAGATTTTGGGGTGAAGTGTGACCTGAATATGTTCTCTTTACAGGCTCTTCCTCAGATTATACTTAAGCGTTTTAGACTTATCGGTGCTGTGGCTGAGACCTTCTCTAGATCATTGTTACCTATTCCTCTCTCAGGTAAGAACACCAGAAAACAAATGCACACAATACACCTACAGCAGAGTGTGTTCATATTGTTATGCCATTTCATACATGTGCCCTCTAGGGTTATAATACCATTGAAACGTTTTGAACCAAACGTGTATTTCTAGCCTGTCTAGCTGCTTTCAGTGTAATGGTGGTGAGAAGTGAAGAGGCCGATAATGGAATACGAGTGTTTGATTCTAAGGGCAATGCGGTTGGAGTCTCGAAGGCAGCTGGTTCTAAGGTGAGACTACAATAAAACCTTATGCCACCAAAGCTCCTTATCTTTAAACTATTTAAATATGTATTCTTTGTGTTGGTCACAGGCCATAAAAGAAACCGCCCTCTCAAGAGCTACTCTCTTTGGCACCACTGCAGCTTTTCCCACTTTACTGTTGGCTCTCCTTAAAAGGTACAAGTCAAAATGGGTTGCTTTCCATTTTACAAGTTGACTTGTAAAAGTATTGAGTGTGATAATGTGAACTCTGCTGTCAATGTTTCAGGGCAAAGTTTTTCCAGAGGAACCCAATGATAATCGCTCCTGTTCGGCACGTCAGTACTGCCATTATTTTTGGCCTGATGATTCCTGTATCCTTCAGTCTTTTTCCACAGTTTGGCAAGGTAACACACATTAGATAACTAATGTTAGTGCGGATTCATAACAAACCAGGTTATCATACTTTATCATTTTAATTGAAAAATACATTCATCAATTCTCTTAATGTTTTCATCAAAAATCGCATTCTCCATCACCATTGATAAGCATGATTCAGAACCAACCTATTTTTTTATTTGCAGATAAAGAAGGAGAATTTAGAGGAGGAGTTTCAGTCACTAGACGGTCACAGTGAACTGTTTTACCACAGAGGACTGTAATGTTGCCATTGCCAGCTTTCCTATTTGACTGAATTTTATTGACAGATCTTGCTGACATTAAACTGAACTAGTATACTAAAAGTCCACTGCATTTCAACAAAATTTCAAAAAGGTGGCTACTTTAAGTTTTAAAAGAATGCACATTTTCTCAAAAGGGTTTATGAGCTACTAATCAATGCTATACTAATACTCAATGACCAAAGGAAGAAGTACAACTCTACGGTACTGAATTCATATTCATTTAATAGCTGCATTTCAGGCTGAAAAGGGGTTTTAAACACTGCGTTGAAGTGGATTTACCAAATCCTGCTAATAACACTGTCTGTAAGTGTCAATAAAATTTTTGTTGCCACTCACATATAATTTTTTTTATATACATTTAATGGTCACAGACATTTAGCAAAGTTTCTATGACTATGTAAAGGATGAGGACAGTGTTTAAGAAATCAGTTTTAAACACTGCGTTGAAGTGGATTTACCAAATCCTGCTAATAACACTGTAAGTGTCAATAAAATTTTTGTTGCCACTCACATATAATTTTTTTTATATACATTTAATGGTCACAGACATTTAGCAAAGTTTCTATGACTATGTAAAGGATGAGGACAGTGTTTAAGAAATCAGAGAATACAGTTTGAACATCCTCTTCTTTCAGGATATATTGCACACATATGATCAGAATATCATCTATGATCTGTTTAGGCACGGAGGATAGCCATTGATAACAAGGGGCTGTCAAATTAATAAGGAGATTAATCAAACATGTATAAAGTAATGTCAAAATCAATAATATGTGCAATAACTAGGAATGCAAAATGTGGGAACATAGTTCCATCTAACATGGGGAATGTCTTTTGTCATTTGAACATATAATGATAAAAAGATGTCTTAAATCAATAGACATACAGGTTGTTAATTAACATCATAACTTTAAGCTGAGGTTTTGGCACTCAACAGTTAAGTAAAACTGATTTTCAGTTTTTCATTTATTTACATTCTGAATTTAATGGGACCCTCATTAGAGCAACTGTATTTTAGTTTTCACTGAACAATTAACATAACGGTATTATTATTTTACAGCATAACAAATGTCTTTTAATTAGGCATGAACTAGGCAACCGTCAGCCCTTTCACATTGATGTGCAATGATGAAATCTTATAAAAGTTCAAAGAGCATGCCAAATTAAGGTTATGAACAACTTAATAATTAGATACCTCAGGAATGCTTACAGAGGACAGCATATAAATCCAAGTGTTACCAAAAGGTTTGATTATGAATTATTTATCTCAAACCTGTTATCACTTAGAAATGTTACATTCAACATAATTACACCCATGAGGTGTAGCTATCACGTTATAGCTGTATTTTATATATCTTTCTAAGAAATCTTTATGTTCTTATATAACTTTTGCCCTGTTCAGAACACCTGAAATTAGACACAGATTCTTTCAAATGTTACAGTTAATTTTATGATTCCACAATGAATGGTAAGTTCCTCTCTGATCAGTTACTGTGAGGCATGCCAGTTGGACGAGATGCACTGATTGGTCAGATCTTTAGGAGTTGCTCAGCTGCAGCTAAGTGAAAGAGGAAGTTCTCAGTCGCTGGAGGGTAGTGCCGCTGCTTCAGGGTCTCCAAAGTCAACTTAGAGTTCTCTGCTTCAGCAGCAAGAGACATCAGGTTACTGAGGATCTCCTTAGTTTTTACTGAAATATCCTGCAGACCGATTTAAAAGGGGCTGGATTAAAAACACATGTAGGATTTCCAAGTCTTGGTAAATTGAAATGCTTCAAATGTAGGTTGTGCTACAGCTGTATTTTGTGTATTTGCTGATACTTTCTTAGTATTGTACGTCACCTTAATAACCTGTGCATCTATGCGATCGGTGTCCTCTGCAGCCTGGACAATGAAGTTGCCAATCTCTTTATGGAGTTTTCCCATAGCCATTGCCTCTGAAAACATAAGGTATAGTGAGGTATGGTGACTTAAACATCCACATCACCATTCCTACCTAATCCCAGTCAGTATGTAAAACTGAATCTCTCACCTTTGGCATTTTGTGACACAGTGATTTCACTGTCTGGAAGATTAACATACACATCAAACAGATCTGATCTGTCTCTGACTTCAGGATCGACAAACCCTGCAACATATCCTACAGAGACAAAGAACAAAGAAATTCATAAATGTAGCAAGTGTTTGTTTTGGGAGGAGGAGAAATTGTCCATACCTGTACACAGCTTCAGGTTTTCCAGCTCATTATCATCCAAGTGAACAAAAGGGTGGAGGATGGACCAGTCTTTTCTATGCCATACCAGTCCAGGAAGAGCTCTGGTTTTAAAAACAGAAACACTGTTACCACAAATTATTTTTAGTGCATGACCATTATCATACAATACTTTTCAAAAGTGTGGGTTGAGTAGGCTTTTTGTTGTTGTTGTTGTTGTTTTGTTTTTTTTTATTAATAACTGCTTTTGTTAAGCAAGGATGCATTAAATTGATGAAAAGTGACAAAGATGTATAACTGAATTGAAATACAGTATATAATTGAAACAAATACTGTTCTTTTTGAAGTTTCTATTTATCAAAGATTTCTGAAATGTATCAAGGTTTCCATCAAATATTAAGCAGCACAACTGTTTTCAACATTGAATATGATACATTTTTCATAATCATCATATTAGAATGATTTCTGAAGGATCATGTGACACTGAAGACTGGAGTAATGATGCTGAAAATTTCACTTTGCCATCACAAGAATACATTACATTTTTAAAATATACTGAAATAGAAATTATTTTTAAATTGTAGTAATATTTCAGAATATTACCTTTTTACTGTATTTTTGATCAAATAAATGCAGGCTTCGTGAGCACAAAAAAAAATTTTTTGGAACAGTAGAGTAAACCACTAACTATAACCACAAGCACCTTGAACAAAGCTCTTTATACAAGCAACAGAGGACATACTTGAAGTCAACGTGAAATGCTGATTGCAATCCATTTAACTTCCTTAATCTGGCATATTTCTGGTTTGGATTAATGTCAAATGTAAATTATGAAAGTAAATAGAATCAATTTTCATTTCATGTCAACGTAATGATCATTTCCGTGGTTACCTTGTGAACTCCAGCAGCGCCTCAATACGTGGGTGATAGACCACTACTCTTTTTTTCAACATTAGTGCTGTATAAAGGATGATGGTCTCCATACCAAATTGTGACACAACATCTAAAATAAAGATTTAACATCTCATGAAGTCTAGAATAAAGCAAACTTGCATACTATACATATATATTTTTTTACAGAATTAAGACACTTTCTTAAAGGATTTCCAAAATAACAATCATAAAGCCAAATGGAGCAAATGGCCATGGTACCAGAGGTATGTGATTTTAGCAGCTCATTTCTTGCCGTGTTTAGTGAGTAGTGCTTGTTTATTTTAAGGGTTCCGCCTAACCTTTTAAGGATCCAGCCAGGTAGGCCTTTCTGACGTCGTAATCTTTGATAAGGAAGGAGCCATTCTCATCACTCTGGCATATCCCTTCGGTCAGAACAGCGATGTAGCATTCCATCATCTTCACAGGACTTCCATGTTTGATATATGTCCTGAACAAACACAATGTTACAGATGCAAACTCAAAAACTCTGTGTACATCTTTAGAAATTGTGTGCTGGCAAACAAAAGATAATTACTGAAAGAAATAATGACCAATTTCGGAAACTCAACACAAGCACTAAGTGGTTGCACTAAATGGTTTGTACATAAATTAAACATACCTACACAGAACTCTACTGAATGCAGCATATTTTTCAGGGTTGAAGTCCTTAGCTGTGATAACTACTGAGAAATGTGTCACCTTTGAATGAAATTGAAGTAAATTATTAGCAAGCTAGCATGATTTTCATCATATCATCAGTTTTCAAGGAAACAAAGAGGTGTTGAGGGTGTACATTTAAGAAAGAAATATCTTGACAGTTTTTTCAGTTTATTTTATTGCTTGTTTTGTCTTATTTTACGTCATCTTGGGGCCCCCTGGTTGAGCACCACTGGATTATAGGACAAGTTGACTCGGTCATTAACATTCTGTCATTGATGTTCCAAATTAGAATACACACAAATGTGAATAAGAAACCATTATCAGTGAATAATGGTTTAGATTTCTGTCTTCTCCTCACATCAAACTGATGTATGGACTACTGTTATGATGCTTTTTGTCACTTTTTGGAGCTTTACAGCCCCTGGTCACCATTTACTTTCATTATATGGAAAAGTGCAGTGTCAACATTCTGGTAAACTTCTCCAGACATGTTTGGAGCGAGATAAAGAGGAGTAAATGAACAAAAACCAATCATATGATCAAAGTTTTCATTCTATGTTGAACTATACCTGTAGCATTATTCGAGCACAGGTTTGTAAGCTTTCAGGTTGGTAGTAAGAGTCCAAATCCTGAAGTTTTGTACCTTTTTAAGTGCAGTTGGCTCCTGAACCTCGACAGTGGTGATGTAGTACCAGGTTCGGCAGTATTGTCCAAACACAAATTTGTGCAGTACCTGATTATTCAACGGCAGGCAACATTTTCTCAACAGAACCTCTCGCAGATCAGCACTGATGGAAGGATAACACCAAACCCAAAGCGTGTCTGCATTTACATCTTTCTCTGTGTAAGGGGGACAAATTAAATTACTGACAAAATAATAATTATTCTATAATTAAAGAGATAGTTCACCCAAAAATGTAGATTCTGTCATGAGGCCTTTTTCTTCTGCAGACCACAAAATGAAATGTTTGAGAGAATGCTCAGTCACCATTCACTTTCACTGCATCTTTTTTCCCACATGATGAAAGTAAATGGTGACTGACAAATGGTGCTGTCACTCTGCCTAACTTCCCCTTGTGTGTTCAACATTAAAGTCATACACATGAAAGTCATACTGGTTTTGAAAAAATATGAGTTTAATTATTACAACATTTTAATTTTGGGGTTAACTATCGCTTTAATACATAAAATGTACTCATAATAAAAATATATTTTCGAGGTATTTTAATCTTACCAATTAGTCCAAGACTCAGCATCATCTCCGATGTAGCCATATTCCATTCCTTATCCACGTTAACCAGTTACTAATACTTCAATGATTTGTAAACCATTTATGTTTAGTTTGGAAAACACATGCAAGTGTCAGCGCGAACAGACACAACCCATTGTCAAATATGCCGGGACAGTTTATACAGAAAACAATTAACTTAAAATGTCCAAAAAATACGGTTCTTATTGCAAAATAGATGTTTCAGCGTTGAATCCAGGTTTCTCATGAAAGCCGAGCGTTACCAATTATCAAAAAGTTTGTAGCATTACAGTGTATGTGAAGCAGTTGTTGAGATGCAATAATTCCCGCGAATATGTGTATCAAGAGGAAAACGACAAGCACATAAAACAAAAACTTATAAACAGTAGGAATCCACTACAGGTCAAGTGATCAACACGCTTCTTCCGGGTTTGTTTCTCTAAGTTTAACTAAAATATCCAACGACATACTGCCATCTAGTGTGTTGGTGCGATTAAAGTTTTTTTTTTTTTTACATAAAGTTTTAAAGGGGTCATATGATGTTGCTAAAAAGAACATTATTTTGTGACTGTATTTATTATATACAATATTAATTATTGTTTTTCCTCTATGCCCCGCCTTTCTGAAACACCTCGATTTTTACAAAGCTCATCGGTCTGAAAAGCGAGGTGTGCTCTGATTGGTCAGCTATCCAGTGCGTTGTGATTGGCCGAATACCTCAAGCATGTGACGGAAATGTTGCGTCCCTTACCATATTGTAATGCCCTGTCTGGCGGGAGCCACGAGACAAAAACATTAAAACCCATTATAAACGAGGCATTTGTTGCATACAGTGGGGACATAATTAC